GCTAAGAGTAGACCTGTCACTGTGGACAAGAGGATGGTAGCAGTGTTGTATTTCCAATGACTCCTCGCACCCTTGGTTTGGCTCCCTAAGATTGATGTGGTAAAATAGGTGTTTTGGAAAAAACTCTTCACATGTCTCCTCTCTTCATTCACAGAACTACTCATACTGAACACTTCTGAGCACCAAATCACGGGGGAGTGTGGGATGGGGCTGTGATATTCACACCATTTCTTGTTGTTGGAAGTAATTAAATTTGGGATTGGTTTGTTGCATAGTAATAGAGAACCAGAACAGGCCCAAAGAACCAACAAAGAATAAACTCTTCTTTTGCCTAGCCTGGTTCTTCCTGGACATAACTCCCTAGAAGGCCCCTGGCAGAGATGGGTATCTGGATTTCACGTCCTGATATTTTTCCACATTAGTATTTTCCTTAGATGCTTAGAATGGTTAGCAGAAGGAGTTGGGCAAGGCACAGGACAATCAGTCCTTAACTGCAGGGAGGCATAGAGAGGAAAGTCACTATGCATCACTGCAAGTAGGCAAACAATGTGGATCTACCTCCTGTGTGAAATCTTTATTTCTGTGGATACTATCATAGGAGCAAGAAAGCATGGAAACAGGCACGAGGGCCTTCACTAAGAAGCACTTCTTAGATACTCACAGGCCCCATACCCTTAATATATTTGAATTTTGGCAATTATGCTAGAAGAGATACAGAAAAGTGCCTTAAGAGAACATGCACAGGGGAAAAGAAGACACATTTGCTTCAGTATTATCTTTTTTTGTGCTCTCACTACACTTAGTCATATAACCAGCTGTTCCTGTTTTCAGGTGATGTATGTCCTAGCCCCTTCTCTGCAGAGGAGCATGGATTGGGCTTCTAACACCAGGCATTCTGCCAGGTCAGGTGTCAGCAAACTACAACCTATATCTACCTGTTTTGGTATAGCCAGCAAGCTAAAACAGTTTCTGTATTTTTAAATGGATGAAAAAAATAAAACAATATAACATTTTGGAACAAGAACAAATTATATTAAATTCAAATTTCAGTGTCCATAAAAAAGTTTTATTGAAATATAATCATGCTCTTTCCTTTATGTATTATCTGAAGCTCCCTTTGAACTAAATGGCAAAGTTGAACATCTGCAAGAGAGAGGATGTGGCCCACATAACCAAAGCTATTATCTGGTCCTTTACAGAACAGTTTGTAAATCCTTGTGCCAGGTACCAGAGATATGCCCTTCAGAGGCTACGTAGCAGCCATTAAATAACTGTCCCTTTTCTCATTGAAGAACATGCACATGACAGGACTCTTATAATTCAGCTAAACAGACCAAAGCCTTCATTTTACCCTTTTCTCCATTTCCCAGTTTAAAGATGAAAAACTGAAGTTCAGAGATCCCCAGGAGATCCCTCCAGATAGAGCAACTGATTGGGAGCAGAGGGACTTAAATGGGTCTCTTATCCTTTGGTCAGATGCCCATCTATTCATCCTCCCCAAGTCCCAGTGGCTGTACTAAAGAGGGGCATGATCTTGACCAAGGTACTTACTTTATCTGGACTCCTGTTTCTCTATTGGAAACAAAGACTCTTTAACTTAGGAAACTCTGTTTCCTTTCATCCTTGATGTGCTCTACTTTTAAAAGAGACAATGCCTAGTCTACAACATGAGGCATAATTCAGCAGCCCTGAATTCCAGCTCCTGCTGCTTTACTGAAAGTCTTTAGATGACTTTTGGCTTTGATTTCATCTGCAATGAGTGTAACAGTAACATCTATGTCCGCAGATCATGAGATAGTCACTGTGATAGGGCTCAATAAACAAAGGAATCTCCTAAAGGAATATGAATAGTAAGTTATTAATTATAAGATTTTCTCAGCTGTGATCATCTGAGATATTCCATTCCCTCTTCCATGGTGGAAAAGGCAAGAGTAAAACTGGAAAGAAAGGAAGTAGACACTGAAGGGAAAAGGGCTAAAAGGGACAAAGAAAGAAAAGAGGGCGGGGAGAAGAAGTAGATGGGGAGAAGTTAGAAATGGGAAAAGAAGAGGACAGATGGGTGAGAGTTTAAAAAGAGAGCGAGAAGTTGGAGAATTGGTAGGGTGAGGTGGGGAGAGGGCAGGAAATACTGGGTGAGGGAAGATGAAAGGGCTAGTAGAGGGAAGGGAGAGTGGGGGTAGCCAGAGACAAGGCTCCCTTCCGCCTTCACTTACCAAACTTCCTGTCATTTTAGAGGCTCTCAATAACTTAGTTTCTCTCTCATAGTCTCTCTCTCAAAGACTGTTGGAGTTAAACTTCAACAAGGATGATACATCTAACACCCTGGCCTCTCAATTTTAACAACAGGGTATGCATTCTACCTCAGCCTTCTGTTTCTATGGGCTCACCCCAGACCTCGAAAAACTCACCACCTCTGGGATCTCAGTTCCAAATCTCCCCTTCAGACCAGCATCAGTACTGCTAGCTCATTTGCTCAAGTCCTCTATGCAACCACTCTTTGACATCAATGTATCTAAGACTTTGGCCTCTTTCCTGACTCCCCTTTTTCTCACTATCAGCCCTCATGTACTATCATTAGCTTTTCTGTATGGGTTTGATTCCAGATGCACCATCATAAACATTCCCTTCCAAGCACCTTTTTGGCAAAACACAACCCTGAACCAACTCAACAATCTGTCTTCTAGGTGCTTGCACCTGAGCTATCAAACATTTTTGATTTAGATCCATGATCTCAAATACCAAATGAGTTCTTAATATTGCTCAGAAATCCTACTGCATAATTTTCTTTAGAAGACCAACATTTCTACTCTCAAAGATGTTTATTTCATCCTTTCTCTTCAAACATCCTTCTCCCATTTCTTCACCCTCAGCTGATACTGCCTTTTTTTTTTTTTAAGATTTATTTATTTATGCATACAAGAACTAGGGTACAGGCCAGAGGTGTGGAGGGTGACAGGATTCGCCAGAGACAGAGTGGGGAGCAGAACAGGTGGAATGATGGAAATACACTGCTGAGGGGAGCAGCGGGCAAGACAGGAGAGGTCTGCTGTGCCATGTGGGTCAGCTCCCTGGTGGGAGATGGAACTTGTGCTGCAGTGGCTGCAGATAGCTTCATAGTGCTGACACTCAACCCCTTGCACCACCAGGGAGGTCCTGATACTGCCTTTTCTTTAATGAGAAAAAGTATCAGGCTAGAACCCTTTCTACCTTGGAACTTTCCTGCACCTATATCTTTCTTGCAGCTCCTATTACAAATGAAGTTCTTCCTTTCTAAGCCCTTGTAAGTCCTCTGAGATTCTCCATGCGCCCTTTGAATCCATCCGATTTTCTTCTCAAGGGGTTAACTCTCTCCTTCTGAGGAAATCATTTCCAGTAGTTTCAATGCAAGCTCTATTGTAACACTGTGCAACAGAACTTTTTGTGATGATGGAAATGTTCTGTATGTGTGCTGTCCAATACAGCTTCACTAGCCACATGTGATTACAGGGCACTAGAAATATGGCTAGTGTGATTGAGGAACTGAATTTTTAATTCTACTTAATGTAATTAAATTGCCATGTGATTAGTGGTTACCATATTAGACACTCGGTTCTTGTCTCCCATCCTAAATAAACTTTTCCTTTTGCCCCTAATTCTTTCTGTTGTCTTCATTTCCTCACTTACTATCTACTTGTTTTTAATATAGTTTCAAATTAAATATAATGTGTGGCAGTAGATTCATAAATCCAAAGATTCAAAGTTACCAAATCCAATTTAGGGTATATTTGCTTTATATGCAAGCATACGTACTCATTTGCTTTTAACAGTGTTGACCTCTACATCAACACAATCCTACCCCAAATTCTCTCCTCTGCTGGAACACCACATTCTCCTAATTTTCCTCCTACATTTTTGGCTTTTCCTTTTCAGAACCTTTCTCCTTTCTCCAACTTCCAAAGGTCTGTTACCAAAGCTCATTCCTCGGACTCCTATTCTTCTTCCTTAAGGTTTAATCCTAATGCAGGTGGCAAGGAAATGGAATTATAGTTAAAAGGCTTCACATTGCAGTTAGACTATAACTGAAAACTTCCTTAACCAAAGGATTTAAATGACCTGTCACTGGCCTAACTCTCCCACCTTCCACCCCCACTCATAGAGATCTGGTCTCAGAAACCCTCTTTCAATTGCTGGCCAGCTTTCAATTGCTCCAACAAGACAAGTCTTTACAGCTTTTGCATGTACCTTTCTCTCTGGAACATTCTTTCCCAGTCTTTGCCTGCTTTTGCTCTTTCCTAGCTATTGTTTTAAACATCACCTCTCAGGGCCTCCCTGATCGCGCAAGGGGTTAAGACTGCAGCACAAGTTCCATCCCCAGCCAGGTCGCTACCCACACGGTGCAGCAGACCTCTCCTGTCTTCCCGCTGCTCCCCTCCGCAGTGTATTTCGGTCAATCTGTCTGTTCTGTTCCCCACTCTGTCTCTGGTGAATCCTCTCACCCCCTGCACCTCTGTCCTGTACCCCAGTTCTGGTATGCATAAATAAATAAATCTTTTTTTTAAAAAAGTCACCTCTCAGAGGCTTTCCCTGATTCTTTCCCAGAATGACACGCATCCTTTGCTATTCCTTCGTTGTTTTCCTTCAAAGACCGTGGCTGTCTTTTTCGCTTCGCGTGGAATTGTTTAGGTTGGCTGCCTCCCCCTTGGAAGTGACACTCCCAGCGAGCAGAGACTACGGCCTTTGCTCTGTCGTGCACCACGTCCCAGACTCCAGCACAGGCCCGACCCGAGGAGGGCGGGGTAAGATAGCGGCGGAACGAGTCACCTGCAGACCGGGGGCCCAGGGGGCGCGGACCCGCGACGGACGCGGGCCGGCCAGGGGCGGGGGCGCCGCGCTTAGCCCGGGAAGCCGAGGAAGCCCCGCCCCTTCCGGCCGCGGCGCGGACGCCAGGGCAGCCACGGCTGCGGGGCGGCTGCGGGCGCCGGCTCGGCCCGCCCCCTTCTCCCCGCCCCGCCCCGCCCCGCGCCGCCGCGGCCAGCCGCTGGCTGTCAGCTCCCTCAGCGTCCCGGAGAGCCGCGGTGTATGCTGAGCCGCTGCGGCCGCCGGCTGCTGCACGTCCTGGGCCTTGACTTCCCCCTGCTGACTCGCCGGCCGCTTTTCCTCTGTCCTCGTCGCCTCATGAAGCCGCTGGTCGTGTTTGTCCTCGGCGGTCCTGGCGCCGGCAAGGGGACCCAGTGCGCCCGCATTGTCGAGGTGAGGCCCGGGCAGCTGACGCGCTCCGGGGCTGGACCGGACGTCGGCTCGGCCTGTCTCGGCGCGCCCGGCTGTGCGCACCCGCGGGCCGCGGACTACGAGCCCCGGCGACCCACGCGCCGGCCGCGTGGCGGTGGTCGGGGGTCCCCTGGCGCGCGGCATGTCGGGACTGGTAGTTCGCCGGCCCCGGGGCGCCCAGAATGGAAGGGGACCGCTTGGGGTCGCTTTGTTTCTGCGCCCCTCTGTCCGTACATTCTGGCGACCAAGTTCGTCTCGAGAGTGGGCTGGGAGAGGGCTCCCAGGAGGGCCGGCATCCAGGGGCCCCTGGCGCGCAGTCAGCGGGGCGCTGGTGGTGGTGAGGGCAGCAGGAGCGTAGATTTGGGTTAGAGGCTCCTGGAGGGGAAACTGGCTTTTCCTCTTGGCCCCTCCCCGCAGGCCCTCTAAACTCCGAACCCCTCCACTTACCAGTGTTTACCCTAGAAAGATGCCTCTGGGGCGGGGTGCTTCTTTAGATGTCCCAGTATATGCCCTTAGCTCTTCCTGACCCCGGCTCTGGCAGTACCAGCCTGCAAAGAGGCTCAGCCTGGGCTTGTCGGGTGGAAATAGCCCAGAAGCTGGTACTGAGATCGAGCTTCTGCCTCTGGCCCTGCTGCCAGCTCACGCTCTGTCCATCGCTAAGTCACTTCCTCTCTCCAAGTCTCAGTTGCCCTTTCTAGAATGTTAGGAGAGGATGTGCAGCCAGATTTAAACTCAATATAAAATCCCTCCCAACTCTAAGATTTTTTTTTTCCCCTTTTCCTTCAAGGTACTATAGGTTATCAGTTCAATTCTGATAACAGTTCTCGAGCAGATGACGTGGTTAGTTGCAGTGACACTATGAGGGGGAAGACAGTGGAGAATCTGAGGAATGTTTGGGAGAAAAGCAAAGCTATGTAGAAATAGAAGAGAGAGTCAGTGGTGCTGGTGCTGTGAAACACCCAAAGAATCTCGGTGACCAAAAAAAGTATTGACCCAGAACTTCTAAAGTAATTCCTTCCTCTGTTCCAGGATATGACTTATATATCACTTATATGACTTATATTGTTTTGGACTTTCACTCCTTTCCTGTATTTACACAATCCAAATATACTGTCCTATATTTTATACCCTAAAGAGCGTTCAGAAAAAGTTGGATGGTAACATCTCCTTCATTATCTGCCCTACAGCTGTTTTTATAATCGATCATTTTTAGGAATAAAAGTGGAACTAATTCAACAAAAAAAATACATGGATATATATACTTATTTGTTGGTTCTTTTCACTTTTAAAAGACAAGTGACAATTGGATAGTTTCAATTTTTTTGCTTTATTATAAAATGACTTATACATGTAAATAACATGATATGGAGAGGAACTAAGATTAACTAAGATTTAGAGTTACACAGATAGGGTTCAAGCCCAAACTATCACTTTCAGTTTCTTAGGCTCAGAGAAATGACTTTTAGCTTGAGTTCCTATGTAAAAAGGGTGTAACAATCAATACCTATCTACTGGTATCTGTGAATTTTAAATGAAGTAAAATATGTGGTACACATAGATGCAAATACTTTTTTTTTCATCTTGAACTTCCTGTTCTTAATCTATGAGGTTGGTTATTTTTACTTTGAAGTTGTATTACTTTTTATAAATAGTTTTATGACCGTTACATTTGAAAACATTGAAATATTTTTTTCTGAATCATAATGCTACCAAATGTCCACACCCAAACTAATAATACTATGTTACTCCATCGTATTAAAAATAATCTACCTTCTGGAACTAGTATTTACTCTATTTAATAATGATATTTTAGACCTAATGATTAATTATAAGATTTCTAGATGAGATATGTTTATTATTCTTGAGGATTTCGCAAATTATACGAGCTTAAACTGTTTTAAATGATCATCTTTTCTCACGAAAATATTTACTCTTGAATTTAGTTGTCATAAACATGAAATTGTTATCTACAAATTACAAATACTGTATAATTTCACAGTTGCTATCCCATAGATAGCTAAGTAAATCAGACAATAAATTGTCTACAGTCCGTTAAGTCAGAGGTTTTTTTCCCTTTTTCAGTGTCTTGCATTTTGACTCATTTTTTTATTATTCAGGCAAACATAAGCTGAATCTGAAATACTGTTACTGTGTGGAGTAAAGTTTTATAAATCAAGGTTAATTCCCCTGCCATAACTCCAGTACTGATGTAATTCACAGGTTGCCTGAAATGTTGCTGAAATAGAATTATTTCTTTGGAAAAATTGCATTGATTTCCATGTTAAGCTGCCAGAAGTACATCTTTGGGCCCTGGCTACAGAGCATGATTTGACACTCATGTCAGATGTCCAGGGATATTAATATTAGCTATGAGGGTGTGACCAGAGGGAAGTTGACATACACTTTTTTCTTCTGGAGATTGTTCTACCACTGCTATTTGCTCTCTCACACCTTGAGGAAGAAAAGGCAATTCTGACATACAGTGTCTTCTGAAAGTGTTCTAAACTGGAAAGGTTAGGTTTGAGGGGGTTTCGGTTGACTTTGCCTGTTGATTTGTAACTGATCTTTTTCAGTTTTACTTTCTAATTGTTTATAAACCTGTATCCTCTCATATGCAATTTGGTTTTGAAAATTGCCATCTTTGAAATCAGTGCAATAATACTTTATTAGAGCTGAGTGCTCAGAGTGGAGTTATTGTGGAATAACTTGTTACAAAAAAATTATTATGTGGGTACTGTGTCATTTTTGAGCTTTTAAAGTTAAGCTTTATATTGTTTTGGCCCAAGAAAAATTATGGTGCTGTAACTTAAACTTGTCTTTTTGCATTTGTTAGCTGGAAGAGATATTTAAACGTCTACTCTTTTAAAGGTGGTAGGGCATTTTTTTTTTTAATCTAAACAAATTATGCAGGACACTCGCTTGTCCTAAGATGTGAAATAGTTTTTACTTTGGTCCCCAGGGGGCGCCCAAGTAGCACTTTACTCTCCCTATATCAGGAACTACTAGCTCTTCAGGCAGATTTCTCCTTTAACACTTCACTTTACTCTCGTTGAATAAAATTGATAGGTTTGTGAAAATCTGTTGAACATTCGAAAATTTCCAAGCTTTTTGATTGCAAATCCCCAAAGCATATTACCACTTGTAGAAGAAACTAGATAGAAGAATCTCCTTTTGGTGGGGTAGTATAGAGTGAGATAGGTATTTGTTTGTTTAATAGAAAGTTTATATTACCTGTACAAAGGATAGCCCACAGAATCCCTGACTCTTCTAAAGCACTACACTTCCATTAATATTTGTATCATGGTAGTTTTTTGTTGAGAACCCAGAGGAGGTGTTCAAAAGTAATACACATTTCTTAAATGTTTAATCCTGAGGTCACCAATTTTAACTGTCTGGTATTAACTACTTCTACATCTCTCTCTCTCAATGTTCTTACAAGTCAAAATGCAAATATTTGCCTTTTTTTAACCTTTAAATGTGATTATCCTATTTTTTACTGACTCTGCCTACATTTGCCTTGCTCAAGGCCCCTCTTCAATATCTGTTCTTCCTCTTAAACTTACTCCCTTGGAAATCTGCTTGATTTACACCTTTTGGGTTAATGTTTCAGTGACAGCAATTGGTTAATCTAAGCACCACCTTTCAGTTAATGATAGAGGACTGTAGTCAGTGAAGACCTCCCAAAATCATATAGAATAAAGTATTTTAGCATTTGTCCTTCTGAATTGAAATTCAGAGCATTTCAGAGAAGTCATTTTAGTCCTGGGACTTTACGACCAGATAAGAGAGAAAGGGTGGAGGCAGGGCATAACTGTCTTATTCTTTGCATCAGGTTGTCCTCACCACTCTGACTCCTGTATCCTGTTGCCTTAAAGCTAATACTTTTAACCCAGTTACATATGAAAATGTATCTGCTCTAACACTTCAGTTGCTTTTACCTGACAACATTTTTATAGACTGAACATGCCATTAGAGCATTTAGAACTTTATAGAGAACAGGTGTAAGGAAATATATTGTTTGCTGACAGTTTTATGCTCTCTGGTGAACACAGCTAACAAGACATTGTTGGGGGGAAGGGATGTCCTGAACAAACTCCACAAACAGGTTTTATGAACTCCACCCCCACCCCAGACCAAAGAGATCCAAGACACCAAGGGTTACAAATCCCATGATGTCATCACTACTGAAGGGAGGGTTGCTGGGAACCGATGGTGAAGTTAAGCAGCCAGGTTTGGTATATAACCAGACATGTGGGCCTTGGGGGGCCTTGGTTTTTCTCCACCTTTCAGAGTGCTATTGGGGTTCCAGATCAGCGGAACTGGTAGGACACATTCACCAGTTTATCTCCCTCTCTTTCTCCCTGAGTTATTCATTTCTTCATTTCCCCTTTTTTGTAAATAAACCCTTACACTTTTTCTGTGTACTTGCAGTTGAGTCTCACTATAAGTCCCTTTTAAGCGCGCGGGTAAGGACCTCCCAAGCCAACCTATTTCACATTGGGGTTGCCTTGTAACAGCATCACTTTGATAAGGGAAAAGGCACCAGGTGTTACCTACCATTATCAGAAACTTTCACTTTGAGGGACTCAGTCCTGTGAAGCACGTTCATGCCTGGTTTCCATCAGTCTCCAGAAGACCCATAGTGAGTTCCTTGTCATTAGGCTATTATCATATATCAACAAGCAAGTAAATACGCCTAACTTAAGACTACACAAGAGACTGCTTCCCTGTCCACTTTTTGCTAGAACTTCTAGACTGTCTTAGCCATGAATGTTTGCCATTGGAAAGTAAGTGTTTAACCTAAGGATTATTTGCCTTTATAATTATGTATAGTTTAGATTAGATAATAACATGAATTTCTGTTTTCTTGGTGTCTACTAGGAGTAGAGAGACAGCCTAGAAGATGTTTTAATTATGTAACTGAGAATTGACTTAATAAATAATTTAGCTTTTTAAATAAAGAATTTTATTTACTACCTGTT